GAGAGAGAGAGAGAGAGAGAGAGAGAGAGACTGACTGCAGCAGCTGAAGGAGCCGGGGAGCGATGGGCTGGTGGAAGCCAAAGGGAGCGCGAGGAGCGGCTGAGGCGGCGCGAGGAGTACAAGGAGGCGAAGGCGTCCGTAGTGGCGGTGATGGGCGGAGGAGGAGGAAGAGGAGGAGGGGGAAGCGATGGCAAGAGCTGAGGAGGGGGGGCGCGGGCGGAGGCGCGTTGCGCGCTGGCGGTGGCGGGCACGAGCCCCGCTCATGGAGGAGGAGGAGCTAGGCTGGGGAGGAGGGCTAACGAGGTTCCAGAGAACGCAGGGACCCCCCACCCCGACACACACACACCCCCACCCCAATCTCGGGTAACCGACCGCCGCCCTCCCCGCACCTGCAGCGGCACCGCCAGGGCGGCGTCGGGCGCCGGGGCGCGCCCTAAGCGCCGCTCCCGGTGCCCACGTCGCGCAGGAGGAACGGAGCCCACGCGCCGCCTGGTGCTGCTCCCTGGAGGTCCTGAGACTCTTGGGGGGCTGCTGGTGGGTGTTGGTGCGGAGTCGGAAATGCTGTGTGTCTCTGAGGCCCTAGATTCCCTGGGCTGAGCCCTGCCGCTGGTCCCCCGACATCCTTGGGCTGTGGAGCGACGTGGCTGCCTAGAAGAGGTAAAGAGGTATCGCTCCCGCTGGAGGGCGAGGGGACTGATCACGCCTTTACTTAGTCATCACCGCATCCACGCAGGACCAAGTTCAACGCGTGTTGCGTGGAATCAGGCAGCAGGAAGTTATCTTTGATTTCCTGAGCCCTCTTAATAGACTACTCATTCTTGCACACTCTTGCAATCAGGACCAATTTCCCCTCAAAACTCTGAGGGCTTGAGACTTCCCGTGAGCCTGCCAGTAAAGTCCATTTGCAGATTGTACACCTTGGGACAGCTCCCGCTCACTCACTCTCAGCAATCTTTTTTCCTAACCTCTTTTCTCCCTACCAAGTGATGAAATTCAATCAACAGCTCTAAAAAGTTTACATTACCCCTGAGCAAAAAAGGACCTGCTGTGCTTCTACTACCTCTACAGTTCATTTCCCCAGGGGTTGGAAGGTTTGAGGTTTTCTGTTTTAGGGCTTTTTTGCTGGCAGAGACTTGTAATTCCGTTTCCATCATACACTTTTAGCATTGTGTGTTTTGATCTGCCTGATTTTTCGTCTATTTTATCTGAGGTAATGAAATCCAAACGTGCAACTTGAACAAAAAGAGCAGGAGACAGGTTTTTCCTTTTTGTTCTGCACATACACAAAATGTTATGCACATTCTATTAAGGCAAAGTAGATCCAGAGTTTATTTCTTCCAGAAGTTGTTATAAACGTTAGACACTTTTAAAGAAAAGAAGATAAGTATGGTGATATGTTTTTGTCATTTTACATTCAGAGTCAATATGTGCCAAATACTTCAGTTTTGTTAGTTATGCACCAAAAATTCAGATGTTTTACCTAGATGGTGCAGTTTTCATAACAGGCACTGCTAATCTACAGTGAGATTTTAGCTTTACTTTGAAGATTGAGGAGAGTAAAACCTCTACATTGTAAATATTTCAAGTTGTCCTTTTAACCTACATTAGCTATCACTTTCTGAGCATTTAATATGCTACAACCTAAATAAACATTTGCTCTCTTATTTAGCTGGCTCTGTGAAGAATGGAACACCACCCAGCTTTCTCCTCCATCATTAATATTCCTTTCCCGACTTGCCCAATGCAGAGTCTAATTGAAATTCACAAAGATAAAAAGCATGCCATTTAAAACCTTGCAACCAGGGAATCTAAAAGTCTTATACTTGGCGTGAACACATCACTTACTACTGTATGTTCCTTTTCCATTTCTCCATTTCTATGAGTCAATCTTTATTAGGAGCTCTATCATTCTTCTTTTTATATTACTGTGAAATTGTTTATATTTTGGTAATGGAAGTTGAGCAGAGCATGGTTTCTTTCCAACCTTAACTGTCATACTCCAACAAAATTTATTTCATGAATATCACAATTTTGTAAATATCTTCATATATTATTTTCATACCTACCACTATGGTCTTTTCCCTGGATATTAATACTGACTTATAGATCTTGTTTTCAATTGCTTTATTTAAAAATTTATAGCTATTGAAATTAGTTGCACTTAAATACCAGTTTTTCCCATTAGCACCCTTATTAAATTTGTAATCTCATTGACATATGACACATTTTTATGGAACATTACAAAAGTTCAACCTGTTCTTAATGATTTTTACCCATTTCTTTGGGGGGGGCAAGATTATATGTTACAACAGCTCACAGATTGAGATATGCATTTAGTGGACCCACAGTAAAAACTAGATTTAAAAAAATCCTAATTTTTGTTTCTTCCCCACAAACTGTTTTGCAATTTTAGTGACATTTGATAGCTATAATTTAAACTTTAAATCTGATGAAAAGGAATGGAAATTGGAAAATCTGCTGGCAGGAAACCTCAAATTTGTAGCTATTATAATTCTGATTATAATACTGATATTTCATTGTCCAGAAAAATTTCTTTGGAAATTCAGAAGATTGTCCATGTTCCCCAAATATCTAACAAGTCCAGCCCAGTCTTCTCAGCAATGATAAAGTACAGTTAACCACCTGAGATTGGAGAGCCAGCCATGCGGCTGGTGACTAAGCCTTTTCTACCCACCCCAGTGGGAACACATCCCAAGGCAAACAGTGCTGGAGAAGAATTGGCAACTAATTGATTGCCAGTAAATTCATTCCTACCCAAGTTTGACCAATGAAGAACCTCTTGCTCGAACCTGTTTAAATTATTCTCCCACAAATTGGAATCTGGGTGTCATTTCTCCCATCCCTAACCTCCATATCTCTTTAAGAAATTTTGCACATAAGGACCAAGTATAAAAGAAAGCCAAAGAATTAGGAAACCCTTGATTTTGTCTGTCTTTTCTTCCTTATATTCCTATGTTCTTTATAATATTGTAAAAATTTTTAATTTTCTTACAAAACTATGTTTTTGAACAGATGTTTCTTAGAGATTCCATTATTAGGGTCCAGCTTGGTACTGCTTCTACAGAGAACTACTATTATATATATATATGATATATATATATAATTAAGCTTTCTGATATATATATATATATATATAATATGTGTGTGTACAGGAGTTTATACACATATTATTATATATTGTGTGAGACATATGTGAATATAATATGTATATATGTGTTACATATACCTATATAACTATAAGCATGTGTACCAATTGATAGCTATCTAGATGAATAAAAATAGGATTGACTATTTGGATTTAATATTGCATGATTTGATTATGGTGATTTTTATATACTTTGAAGAGAATACCAGACTTACTTCCATAAGACTTGCATTTCACCATATCAATTTTTAAATATCACTATATAATAAATTTTTATATATTTAAGTACATACATTCTTGTGTGATTTATTCATTTAAATGAGGATATGGGTTTGTGAAAAGTTGGGAACTGAAGTACAGATTATTCAGTTTTCACAAGATGAAATATTGTCTTATACTTTCCCTCCTGCATGTCTTACTAACTTCAAAATATGTTTGGATGATAATTCTGTTCACACATATTCACCACATTACAAAAAGACAAAAACAGAAAACAAAAAACCTGGAACAAAGAACTATTTGGCAATTTTCAAGTCAAAATCGTAGCTAGATCAAGCTTCTTTTTTCCTACAAGCTGAAATTACATGGATAGGTAGGCTCCCAGATTTTGAAAGAAAAACAGCTGGAAGGTGGGAGTAACTAGTCTTATAAACAAATAATCCCCAAACTACTCTCTACATTAATGTATCTAGGTCACATTTCATTAGAGCTAAATATATCATGTATACTGGCTTGAATAAGCTATGCATATTACCTTCTTCAAATTGAGTTAGTAACTCTGTTTTAAAAGTAATTTTACAAATCCTTATCTAACCTGCAAATCAAGAATATCAAGCATTCGGGATATCTTGGTGATTTCTGATATTTTAAAACTATTTGTACTATCATACAAAAACAGAGTAGTAAAGAGTTTCTTTTTCTCTCCTTTTATGAAATTAGAATTTCTTTCCAGGTAATTCAAGTATATCCTAAAACAAAAGGTAAAACTCCAGTGATTCAAACTAAATACCTCTATAGAAAAATATACTGTATATTTTGTTGAAGGATAAGTTGCCACATGGTCAGCAGCTTTTGCCTGAGATATGTCCTCTAAGAAGTAATCATAGTCGTAAAAGTAATAATCATAAGGTTACAATTTCTTCATTTGTATAACAGTTTAGATTTAATTTTAAATACTCTGTGTACATTAACTCATTTAATGTTCAAAAGTAAGAGACTGCTATCCTTCCCATTTCACTGATGAGAAAATTTGGGCACAGAAAGATCATGGTCTCTCATTGGTGAAATCAGGTAGAGCAAAGCAATATGACCCCAGAGTTTCCCTTCTTAATTACTATACTGCTTATAATAACATCTTATGATGCATAATTATGCAGAAGTAGCCAGCAACAATAATAGCACCAAAGTCAAGGGATGGGGGACCTGGACCTAACCTGAGCCTGTTTTCAAACATTGCAAGTGGAATAAGGTTGACTTCAAACAAAGGAATGTTCTTGTGTCATTATTTACATCATCAGACTCTTCTGTCTTGAGAGGAAGAGAGGGTGAATGTATGAAAAATAAATAAGTGAAAAACAATCAAGCTATGAGTATTTCATGGTCAGTCAGAGACGTGAAAGAGAAAATAGAAACCAATTATTTTTAAGATAAAGTGAATAATGCCATGCCAAATTAATTATGGATAGCCAATGATTTTAAATATAGATCATTTCTCCATGGTAGGGACTCTTTGTATTTGCCAGAGTGGCTTGCTCATAAATACTCAATAAATAATTGCTGATCTTTGTAGAGTTAAGTACTTTGGAATAAAAATTGAGAGACGCAGTTCCACCATTAAAAATGGCATGACCTACAGCAATCTCAGCTACAGTAGATGCTAGTCCCTCCCAAATCTCTGTCTCCAAAAAATTCACTATCACTCTTAGACATTTTTTTCTTCATAAAGTATAACCTTTGGTATTCTCTAACTTACACCTTGCCACTACCCAAATCCTGAAAACTGGGAGTCATCCTGTACTTGGTTTTTTCAATACCCCACCAGTCCCACACAAACACACTTACTGTTGATGACAAAGTATTTCATTTCTATCCAATATCTGATTTGTTCTCTCCTTTACCAAAACCATAACCTTAGCTCTCATGTGAAGTACTGCAATACTAATAAGCAGTGCTTACTAACTGGTGTCTCTGCTTCTGATCTCAGCTTTCTCCAGTTTATCTGCCAAAATGCCAAGAAAAGAGTCTTGCCAAAACCAATTTTGACACCGTCATTCAGTCACTTAAAAATATTTTCTTGGTAACAATATAAGATGCAAGACTCTTTCACATATCACCTCTGACTCCAGCTTATATCTTTAGCATTAACTCTGCTCTTTCCATGGACACCTTATCATGTGTGTGCACAGACATATGCATGTATACACCACACACACACAGAAAAAAAAAAACAGCATTCATTTCTTGAAGTATCTTCCTTTCCTTCATGCTACCA